AAACCCAACCCGGATACAACCAAAGAAAAGAAGAAAGAAAGAAAGAAAAAAAAAAAAGAAAAAGAAAAAGAAAAAGAAAAAAAGAAAGAGAAATAGAAAGATAAAAAGAAAGAAAGAAAGAAAGAAAACAGAGACAGAGAGGGAAAAAGAAGAAGAAGGTTACTCACACTTCGCAAAAAAAGCATAACTCTCCGCATTATTCAACGCCGTCTGAGTATCAATATTCATAATCTCCTGATACCCATAAACCTCATTCCCCAGAACCCCCTTCGTATGGCCCAACTCATGCAACGCCGACGTCCTCTGATCCAACACCGTACAATCATCCGACGACGCCGGCAAATCATAGTACGCAGGACAGGTATTCACCTGGCCCCTTGTGCCATCCGTACTCGCATACCCGGTCGTGCTAAAGGACCCCGTCTGGCAATTGATGTTACCAGGGGAGCAGGAATAGGTGACGACGCCGCCGCCCGGCTGAGATGCTTCTTCGGCGATCTGTTCCAGGGCACCTGCTACTTTGTCCATGGAGCTGGAGTCAGTGGTTTTGAAGAAGGTTTCGAAGAGTGAGCTGGCGCTGTTGGAGCGTAGGCTGGAGGCCCCTGCTGCGGCCATCTTGCCGGCGCTTGTCACTGCGGCTGAGATGAGTTGCTGTTGGGAGTCGGTGCAGTCTGTGTATGTTGCGCGGGGTTTGAGAAGCCCTGCTCTGGTGGGGATGGTTAGGTATAATGGGAGGATGATGCTGAGGAGGTGCATTTTTGAAATCTGGAATATGGTAGTTTGAATTTGATGAAAAGGTTAATTGGAATGTTCTACGTGTAGTTTATGGTCTTTATATATTTTGGAAGAGTCTGATGGTCTGATAATGTAGAGTTTGGGTCGATACAAGGGTCCCTTTTGAGACGCGCCGTTGTGTTTCATGTTCAACCTTTTACTCAATCAGACGAGATTTGTTCCAGAACGTTACTTCATATGTGAAGGTATCTAGATTCCGTACGTCTTTTTTCAGGGCGACTGTCTCATCTATGTTTGGGATTAACTAAGGTTGCATTAGGGCTTCTATCACGAGTGATCGGCTGGAAGTGGAGGTATTCTAGAACGAGTGCCGAAGGGTGATCTGATGTATGAGCCATGTTCACTCGTCACTCCTGGATTAAACCCTAAGTACTACTTAGTCGCTTTCATACAATGGCAATGTGAACTTCAGGCCCCTGTCTAAGGCGTATATCCCCCCAGTCTTGTTGAGAAAATCTTCCGCCCATAACCAGTTTCAATTTTATGCCGAGAACTGAAGAGTTTCGAAGAAATTCAACATGAAACTACATTACATCGCCACCCTCGTAGTAAACTTACCGAGTCAAGATTTCTATATAACTACATTAATCAGATTGGTGGAATATCATCTGATTGCATTCCGGATCTGCTTGACATGGAGTGACTTGGTTAGCTAGCAGATATAGCTCATTTTATATCACCTCAATGGCACTGGACCAAAACACCATATAGCACCAAGGTCGTGCCTTGGACATGCGATCCCTAACATATTATACCAGCGAGACAGGCATCATTTCCATATGCTACTAGTCACTTAAACAAGTAGACATATTTCCATCGTTACTCCTAAGTTTGGTATTCATGCATACTATCATACATTGTTCCCTCGCCCAGCAAGTTTGACTCTTCTGAGTGGACTACTGACTGTCCCAAGTCATTGGCACCTTAGGATACTTACTCGCATCCAGTCCCAGATCTTTGTATACAGCATCATCCCCTGGCCAAATCTTAGCACATATTTCAACATAGAGCCTAGGGAACTCTTACCTTTCAATGACTCAACTCTCTCCTCGTTCTCGCCCTCCAACTTCTCCAGCTCTTCCCCAGGCTGGACCTCCTCAGACCGCTTGCCGTCAGACTCGGCAGTATCAGCCTTTCCAAGGTCATCTGTAGCTTCACCAATCATAAGGAACTGAGCGTTTGGATAGTCAATGAACTCAGGTGTCAATGGCACCCAGCGGTAATCCTGAAACTTTTCGCGGACACTACCCAGCAAAAGTCAGTCATGAGTCTAGGGACAATAGATGGTATGGAAAAGAGTAGTGGCAAACCTTTCTGGGTACTCAGGGTCTTTTGGGAGTTGCGCGAAGGAAGGGCCCGGATATTTCGGGTTCTTCGACTGCACAATCCAGCTACCGCGCGCGTGGAGGCCAAAGTCTTCCTGGAGAGGGCCAACTTCCCCGGGAATGGTCAAAATGTACGCCAAGTGCGATGCTCGCTTGGTGGATGTAATTGCATAGACGCCTTCGGCATATGGCTTGGCTTCGGGCACGGTGCGTTCGCCACGAGTCGAGGTTTCATATTTCTCACCGGCAATGAAGTTCTCCTGAAGCTCTTTCATCGTCTGTCCAGCCTTCTCGACGAAACCCATGTCTCTCTCCCTCCCGCTCGTTGGAAATTTCTTTTTAGGCAATAGCATCAGCCGACATTTCGCGCCAGCTTCTAAAGACCCCTGCATTTGATCCAGTGAGGCCCCTAAAGGAGTTGGACGTAGTACAATGAAACTTCGGGCAACATCGTCAACACTATGCGGTTCGGACACGTTAACTCGAGGTCGATAAAAGAAATAAATTACGCCTTTCTCGAGTATATTCGAAGGAACGGCTTCCTCTCTTTCCTGTGACTTTTGAACCCCGGATTCAACCTCATCAGCAGCAGGCTTCTCTTGCTCTACGCGTCGTTAGTATTATGCCACTCAAAGCGTGTACACGAGTCATTACCGTCAGCAGGTTTTTCCTGTTCAGTCTTTGATTCCCGCGATTCATCTTTGTCATTCCGTTGTTCTTCCTTGCTTTCTTCTACCTGTTCTTCTTTTGTCTCCACTGCTCGCTCTTCTTCAGGCTCTTCCTTCTTTCTCTCTGCTGGTTCCTCATCCTGCTGACCCTTCGCTTTCTCTGCTTGCTCCTTGATCGGCCGAACCTTCTCTCCCTCTGCTTCTTGTTCAATATGCTCCTCCTCCTCCTCCTCCTTTACTTGCTCTTCTACATCCTCCTTTCGCTCCTCCGCCTTCTGGTCTTCTTCCAGCGCAGGCTTCTGATCATCCTTTTTGCTCCTTTTCGGCTCGGGACCTTTATGCGCAGCTTCCTTACGCTTTGCGCCCGCTCCGCCCTTGCTCTTAGTGTCTGGGCCGGCTGATATGGCTTCCTTCGCCTTCTGAGCAGCTTGGCGTGTCGAAGTCCTAGTCGCGGCCATTGTGAGTGAAGTAATGATTCAATTTAAAGATGGAGGGGCCCAATTGAATGAGGAGATGTTAGGAATAAGAGATAATTGAAAGGTGACAAGCTACGAGGCGGGTCTCGACCCGAGAGATGTGACTTGTGGTCCCTCAGTGGGCAGCAGGCGATGAGGACCGTCTGACGTCATCTATGCCAACAGCCTTTTCCGGACTAGTGCGACATGAGCAAGTCAATAGTCACGTGACATCAGCGATTGAGATCTGGAGAGCAAGTAGTGATGTCAACGATTCTCATCATGGTCTTTTTCTCAATCTAGATCCATTTGCTCCGTTACAGTAGTCTCTTGATTGGAATCGGTACCATTCTCCCCGAGCGATGGAGACCTCGAGCAGAAACTCTCTGAGGATTCTAACTCACTGAGTCCGACGTCCGAAAGACCGCCTACCGGAGTTCCCAAAGCCTCGTTGGATTGCTTGGTTTCTCTGCGGAGCTTTCTCAACTTCAGATTGGGTCCCTCTTCGTACCGTCGATCTTGTGACATTCCAGGTCCCTGTTTTTGGAATATTTGGGAAACCCCAGTTGCAGTGCTGGACGGTTTCCTTTTCTTGCCTCGGCTATATCGTGATATCGGCTTGGTGATGCTATTGTCAGATTCACAATGTAGGCCATCCATTGAGTCCACCAGCTCGGTTTGCCAATACTCGGAATTGGATCCTGGAAGAAACAGAATAGTAGGCTTGGAAGACACCGGGGGAGGGTCCTCATCCGGCTCCTCAATAGCATATGGCTGTATCACAATAGGAGCGTTATGATCGGAGTTCTGAGTTAAAGGATCATCTGCTGGTGCATTGCTTGTATTTTGACTTTTTTGGGATGGTGTAGATTCTTGTTTATTATCTGACATTGTGGAAGCTCGGAATGGTCCAGAAGCAGTGTCGTAGATTCCAGACATCTCATCCATATCACGCTAGCCCAAGTCCAGGATAAGAACGTATTGAATAGGAAATATTGCAGTCATGCCAAATAAAGAAAGAAAAAGTACAGTACATAGATCGAGTTCACGATCTTGGGTTGACGTATGCATTTCATTCGAGAATATTCCGCAAAAGTGACTAATTGGAACTGAGGGACGTTACTGCCCTGAGTCGTACCTATGATGTGTGTTAGTGGAGAGGTGCCCACGGTTGTCCTTCAGCGGGGAGAGTCCGGGGGAATAGCGATGGGAGAGACCACATCTTCGAAGAGGGAATTGGTGAGATGGGCCCTAGAAAAGTTAGTATAAACATCTAGTTCATTTTCATAGAGCTCCAATGCGGAAATCGAGAGTTCTCATCGAATTGTCTCTAGTGTGAGAGGGTGCAAGTTGTAGTTCCATACGGGAAGGCAATTGATGTTCCCCTGGCAGCTTCTCACCGCCGGGGCCCATCATTGGCCCAACGGGATTCGCTTATTGGCTCTTCCGGCGGGAGACACAATAAGTCCACGTTTACCGCCTCATCGCTCTTAGTTTAGTTGTCCAGACTGTCCCCGAGTCCAGACGCTCCCCGACCTTACCTGCGTGATCCTCTGCCATTCTGCCTATTGCAGCAGTGGATGAGGTGGTCGCTTTTGTGATCTCTTTATATCTAGCGTGCGGAGCTTGCTTCTCTATGGTGCGGCTCCGGCCAACTCTCCTTCAAGATGCAGTCCTCCCCAAACATGCTCACTAAGGTATGTCCTCCTCTCCAATGCCCCCCCGGCAATCTGGCTCTGGAGTTTCAAGGGCAACTATTAAACATCATATCCCACACAGTTCGAGTCGAAGTCCTCTAGAGCGAAGGGAATCGCTTTCCATCCCAAGCGGTTAGTCCACGACTGAGTTCCCACGCGTCGCAATCAAGCACCGCTGACCCTGACGGAACCAGGCCATGGATCTTAGTATCGCTTCACTCGTCGACTATCCAACTATGGGATTATCGCATGGGAACCCTCATTGACCGTTTCGAAGAACACGATGGCCCCGTCCGAGGCATTGACTTCCATCCTACACAACCCCTCTTCGTGTCCGGAGGCGATGACTACAAGATCAAAGTTTGGAATTATCAAACGCGGAGATGCCTTTTCACACTCAATGGCCATCTTGATTATGTGCGCACAGTGTTCTTCCATCCCGAACTCCCTTGGATTCTTTCCGCGTCAGACGACCAGACAATCCGGATATGGAACTGGCAGAACAGGTCACTGAGTAAGTTGGGATCTGGCCACCTATTCCGAACAAAACTGACTTTAAGGGTTCAGTCTGTACGATGACGGGCCATAATCACTATGTGATGTGCGCGCAATTTCACCCAACCGAGGACTTGATTGCCTCTGCCTCCCTAGACCAGTCTGTCCGTATCTGGGACATCTCGGGCCTGCGGAAGAAGCATTCCGCGCCGACAACCATGTCGTTCGAAGACCAGATGGCTCGGGCCAACCCCAGTCAGGCAGACATGTTTGGAAACACCGATGCAGTTGTGAAGTTTGTCCTGGAGGGCCACGACCGAGGTGTCAACTGGGTGTCCTTCCACCCCACTCTGCCCCTTATCGTCTCCGCGGGTGACGACCGCCTGATCAAGTTATGGAGGATGAGTGGTATGTTATAACTAAGCGTGTTCTATGCGTAAACAAGGTCGCTAACATCTCACGATAGACACCAAAGCTTGGGAAGTCGATACATGTCGCGGTCATTTCCAGAATGCCTCAGCCTGTCTGTTCCACCCTCACCAAGATCTGATCCTCTCCGTCGGCGAAGATAAAACAATTAGAGCATGGGACTTGAATAAGAGAACCTCGGTGCAATCATTTAAGCGTGATCTGGATCGCTTCTGGGTTATTGCTGCTCATCCCGAAATCAATCTCTTTGCAGCGGGTCACGACACCGGTGTTATGGTTTTCAAGTTGGAGCGCGAGAGGCCAGCTTCTGCGGTTTACCAGAATCAGTTGTTCTATATTACCAAGGAGAAGCATGTCAAGTCATATGACTTCGCCAAGAATGTCGAATCCCCGCCGATGCTCTCCCTGCGTAAGCTGGGTGCTCCCTGGGTGCCTCCACGAACGGTCTCGTACAACCCCGCTGAGCGTGCCATCCTGGTTACTTCGCCAACAGATGGTGGCGTGTATGAGCTGATTCACCTCCCAAGGGATGCTACTGGTGCCGTGGAACCGACCGATGTAAAACGTGGCCAGGCTTCCTCTGCTGTCTTTGTCGCGCGCAACCGATTCGCTGTTTTCAACCAAACGAACCAGCAAGTGGATATCAAGGACTTGAGCAACTCCACTACGAAGACTATCAAGCCTCCTCCAGGTACAACCGATATCTACTTTGGTGGTACCGGGTGTCTACTCTTTGTCACTCCCACCACCGTCGTTCTTTTCGATATCCAACAAAAGAAGCAGTTGGCTGAGTTGGCTGTCAGCGGTGTCAAATACGTTGTCTGGTCCAACGATGGTCTTTATGCAGCTTTGCTCAGCAAACATAATGTGACGATTGTCACCAAATCCCTTGAGCAAGTAAGTAGCTTGCACGAGACGATTCGTATCAAGAGCGCCGCCTGGGATGATGCTGGCGTCCTTCTCTACTCCACCTTGAACCACGTCAAGTACTCTCTCCTGAATGGGTAAGTTTGTTCCTCTTTCTGCTGAAGTACGCATGCTGATTTTGTAACAGTGACAATGGCATCATTCGCACCCTCGACCAGACTGTTTATCTCGTCAAGGTCAAGGGCCGGAACGTCTACTGCTTGGACCGCAGTGCCAAGCCAAGAATCCTGGAAATTGATCCTACTGAGTACCGGTTCAAGCTGGCGCTGGTCAAGAGAAACTATGATGAGATGCTCCAGATCATCAAGACCTCCAGCCTTGTCGGTCAAAGCATCATCTCATACCTGCAGAAGAAGGGTTATCCAGAGATTGCGCTGCAGTTCGTGCAGGACCCCCAGACCCGTTTCGAACTCGCCCTGGAGTGCGGTAATCTTGACGTTGCCGTCGAGATGGCAAGAGAGTTGGACCGCCCCAATCTCTGGAGCAGACTCGGCACGGAAGCTTTGGCCCATGGCAATCACCAGGTAGTGGAGATGGCCTACCAAAAGCAGCGGAATTTCGACAAGCTTTCCTTCCTCTACTTGGCCACTGGTGACCAGGAGAAGCTTGGCCGAATGGCCAAGATTGCTGAACATCGTGGCGATTTCACTTCCCGGTTCCAGAACGCCATCTACCGTGGCGATGTTGAAGACAGAATTCAGATGTTTAAGGAGGTCGACCTTTGTGAGTCCTGAAATTAGCATCTTCATTATCGTGCCTCACTGACAGTCTGTAGATCCTCTGGCATACCTGACGGCAAAGACCCATGGGTTGACCGAAGAGGCGGAGTCCATCCTCGAGGCTTGTGGCCTCACGGAAGACCAGATCACTCTGCCCACTGGCGACGGGGCCCTGCAGGTTCCACAGCCCATCGTGCCAACTTTCAAGTCGAACTGGCCCGTCAAGGCTGCTGCCCATTCGTCGTTCGAGAAGGCCTTGCTCGGAGAGGTTGGCGTGGATGATGAATCTGCAGCTATTGGCTTTGAGGCTGAAGAAGAAGAGGAAGAGGCTGAGACCGCTGGCGAGCACCTTGAAGATGAGGATGAGGACGTTGCTGGATGGGACATGGGAGACGAAATCAATGTTGAGGAAGATGTTGACTTCGTCAATGTGGACAGCGCTGAGGCGGGTGCTGGCAGCACTGAGGCCGACCTTTGGGCTCGCAACTCCCCTCTTGCCGCTGACCACGTTGCCGCTGGCTCCTTCGACACCGCCATGCAGCTTCTCAACCGCCAGGTTGGCGCCGTAAACTTCGCGCCTCTCAAGCCACGTTTCTTGGAAGTATATAAGGCCTCCAAGACTTATCTCCCAGCGACTCCCAGCCTGCCGCCCCTGGTCAACTACGTTCGCCGGACTGTTGAGGAGACTGACTCGCGCAAGGTCCTCCCTGTTATCGCGAAGGATCTCGAGACCATTGCCAATGTAGATCTCCAGGAAGGCTACGCAGCGATGAGGTCCAACAAGCTCGAGGACGGTGTAAGAATCTTCAAGGATATCTTGCACTCTCTCCTCGTGAACACAGTGTCGTCAGAGGCCGAGGTTGAACAGGCGAAGAAGATTATCGAAACTGCTCGGGAATACATCCTTGCGATGTCGATCGAATTGGAACGCCGTTCTATTGGGACCGACACCCCAGAAAACCTCAAGAGAAGCCTCGAGCTTTCTGCTTACTTCACTATCCCCAAGCTGGAGGTTGCGCATCGCCAGCTGGCACTGATGGCAGCCATGAAGCTTGCCTTTGCCAACAAGAACTACTCCTCGGCTCTCAGCTTTGCCAACCGGATGTTGGCGAACGGTGGCTCCCCTAAGCTCCTTGATCAGGTAAGACAGATGACGAAGATTGTAATTTACACGGCGAGATGCTGACCAGTACCTAGGCAAGGAAGATCAAGGCTCAGTGCGAGCGCAGCCCGCAGGATAAGATTGACATCGAGTTCGACCAGTTTGCCGAGTTCGATATCTGCGCTGCTTCCCATACACCTATCTATAGCGGCTCCCCAAGCGTGTCAGATCCTTTCACCGGCGCTAAGTATCATGAACAGTATAAGGGCACAGTGTGTCGGATATCCGACGTGACCGAGATCGGTGCGCCGGCTAGTGGATTACGGTTGTACGTTCCAGGCCAACATTGAAGATGAAGGAGTCGGAATGATTCTCTGTCATGTAATTCTCTGTCTCCAATGTGAAACATATGAAGCGAATATTTTTACGTGAGAGGAAGTTTAGTGATAGGGTGGCGCCCATGGCCGGAGGAAAAGCCGCTTACTAGATGTATGGATTTGCTGTTTACACTAATTTCCCAGCGACGTTGTTTTATATTACCTTTACTTCTACTTTCGCAATGCAACTTCGAGATGTTCATGAAAAGAATGAAGAGTGATTCATGTATACATACACAGAGAGAAGAGAGTCGTCCCCATACCTGCCATATCGCAGTTGAGTAGAGAGATCATGCCAACAAGCTATCATACAAATCCGAACCCCATCTATACTCTAACAAATTCTATAGTAAAACCATATACCATCCATACCACCCATCAAATCAAGCAAATCATAAATCAATCACACCTCCCATCCTTCCACCCAGTCCTCCACCTCTCCTCCCAAAACCGACAATCAAACTCCTTCTTCCCCAACTTCCGATTCACCTCATTATGCGCCTCACACATCCACGTCCCGAAATCCGCCCTCCCCCCTAACCGCGGCTCATTACGCCCACTAGGCTCCGCCATCCAGTTCCGGAAATCATCCGCACACACCCAGCAGGGGTACAAGCGCGAGAAGATCTTCAGGAACGTCCGCATCTCGCCCTGTTGTTCCTGCGACGCTTGCACGGGATACGATGCCGTCAGGGAATGGAGGAATGTCCATGTTGAACGACCCAGGGCTTCCACGTCTGGGGGACAGTCGTCTCGCGGTTGGGGTTGGGTAGTAGTTGACTCGGAGGTTGGTTTTGTGGCGGTTGTTGTTGTTGAGGCCGCGCCTTGGGCTTTGGCTTGTTTGGTTAGGTTGCGCCAGGATGCGGCGGAGGTGCAGAGGCGGCATCTATTTTTTTAGTTGTTAGTTGTTTTTGGGGTTCTTTGGTTTTGAAATAGAATAGGGTGTTTGGAGGGTTATGTAGATATGGAGGGGGAGTTGTCGAAGACGTACGGTTTCCCATCTTTATCGAGAATGACCCCGTTGGGCAGTTTCGTCATTCCATTCGCATCTTTGGACTCCTCTGTTGATGAGCTTGCGGCTGCGGGGGTTCGGTGGGGGAATAGGTTCTTTGGTAGGCCGGGTTGTGATTCCGAGGCTGACATTGTGGTATTTCTTTTACTCTTCACGAGAGTGTCAACCGTCGGTCAATCGATTAGTATCTGTGATGCTGTTCGGAGGTGCTCGGTATACCGCGGTGATTGTGCGCAGTGGTTGACGGGAAATGATCAGGTTCGTAGGGAAAGGGAGGTCAATTCATGGGATATATGTACAAAGAGATCAAAGATAAGTATCCTCCCACCGGGTTATATTTCAGAGACTTTCCCTTTTTCTGCTTCGTTCTTTTCCCTTCTGGTTGTTCTACAGGAACCCAAAAGTAAGCATAAATTTAGTGCTTTGTCATCCGTTTCTTTTTCCCGGGTTTCCACTGCCGGTGCCTGGCCTGGAATGTCCCGCCGTCCTTCGACGATGGAGGTAACTTATTTGGTTGGTTGTGTACGGTTATCTTCTATATACGGATAATATCTGTTCGAGTCAATTCGTTGTTACAAGTTCGATTTCTTGATTTAACGTTATCGATAAACCAATCGCTGCACCAGCCGATCGTTCGGAATTGGCGTCGCGTCGCGAATTGCCCGCGTTCGACTCGGAAGTCACGAATTAAATCCACCCCGGAAGAGCTTAAGAAGGGCAAGCGAGTGAAAGAGACAAGATGGTGCCTCGACGTCGTGTAGTATCCGATTCCGAGTCCGAGTTTGATGAGCCCGTAGCTCCTTCGGTCCCTTCCGATGATGCGCTCGAAAAGGCTCTACGCGATACTGTCGCGAAGGTTTACAAATCGGGCAATATGGAGGAATTAACGGTTAAGCGGGTGCGCACGGCTGCAGAGAAAGCCCTCGGGGTTGACGAGGGCTTTTTTAAAGGGAGCAGCACTTGGAAGTCAAAAAGTGATCAGATCATTAAGGATGAAGTGGTATGTTCTGGGAACGTTTTGCTATTGGGGTTGTGGTTGTACAATTGAGTTAGTCGTTTATCTAACTACTACGGGTCCATAGGAGGTACAAGATAAGCGGGCACAAGAACCGGAATCGGATGAAGAGCCAGAGGAGCCTACTCCTCCCGCACAGAAGGCTTCTTCCGCTAAAAGGACAAAACTCGACAAAGTTGAGACATCGCGGAAGCGACGGAAAACGAGTACACCAGAATCGGAAGACCAGAGTGAAGCCAGCGCCTCACTAGACGATGCGAGTGAGGAGGAAGTGAAAAGGCCCGCTAAAAAACAATCAAAACCTACCCTCGGAAAGAGTTCCAAACCGAAGCCTTCGAGAGAACAAGTATCGGATGACTCGGAGGATATAGAGGACCAGAAGGATGATGTCCGACCATCGGAAGAGGTTGAGGAACCAAAGAATGACCGCGGAGAGGACTCGGAGAGTGAGATGTCAGTGGTCATTGACGAAGAGCCTAAGCCGACTCGAAATCGACAAAAAAGCGCCGGTACCGAGGGTTCAACACACAAAGGAAAGAAGAAGACGACCACATCTAAAGGGAAGGACGCGGATCTTGACCCAGACCAAAGGAAGATAAAGGAGTTGCAAGATTTGCTGGTCAAATGCGGCATCAGGAAACTTTGGTGGCGACTGCTGGCTCCATATGAGACATCTAAAGAGAAGATCGGGCACCTTGAGGGAATGCTCAGGGAGGCAGGAATGACCGGGCCATTGAAGGGAAAGGAAGCAGAAAGGAAAGCCTTGAAAATCAGAGAAAGGCGCGAGCTTCAAGCTGACGTCGTCTCGTGTCAAGAGGAGGTAAAGCTATACGGTAAAGACGGTGCCGACGAGAGCGACAGCGGACGGCCAGGGCGGCGTTTAAACCGAGGCCGCAAACATCTTGCCTTCCTAGAAGATGACGGCGAGGAGACGGATTGATGGTTGTGGAGCATATTTAGCAGCTTCTGCCTGGAGCAGTTGATTGCCGTGTAATAATTTCTCGAGTTCTTGCTGTATCAATGCCTTCATGGAATAAAGACTAGCATCCACAGTTATGATCATTGCGATTGTCCGTCATTTTCCGGTCTTTGTCCCTCCCATACGTTGCGCGACTAAGCTGAAGACCGCGACCGAGGAGATAAAGAGAACGAGGTTATAGAACTGCATGGATCGTAATTAGTATGCCGACTCAATGTCCGTTTGTGGAGTTATCGATCGCTCACAGCAGTCCTGGAGTATTCGTTCTCCTCTGCCTCTGTTCTGGCCTCGACGAATAACCGCCGTAGATTAGGAAGGTTTGCCTGATAAGAGCGTTAACGAGCTTGAATTGGATCTGGACATATACTAATTCAAAAATTCTTACCATGCGGTCGACGTGTACAATGCCAAGTGATCTTGTTTGGAGTAACTGCGAAATGGTGGTGGTAATTAAGCTCCGCGGCCTTAAATGCTAAAAAGGCAGAGCCGCGTTTTGTGGACAACTTTTGGGTCCAGACACATGATGAGACCCTTTCCTTAATCCACTTACTTCCACCTCATCTTCTCCGCTCTCCCTCAACTGCGCCCATTCCCTCCCCCTTTTCCTTCATAACCTGGGCATTTGGGGATGACGCTTTGATTCTACCGTGATCTTCCCAGTCATTTGAAACGCCATATCCCCGACCCACCGACGGTATCCCTGAATCTCTCGCCGCCGCCAAATTCCCCGCAGTGGTCCGCAAGGACACTCTTGCATACCTAATTCCGGCTTCTTTCCTCGCTGCGGAGCTCGATTTCATTCACGATGGCTATGAGCAGGATACGCGGCGCCTTTGCGGTGCCTAGAAAAGGAGAAACATTCGAATTGCGAGCTGGTCTTGTGTATGCACTCCGAACTTCTGCAATTACGCGTTCCTGCGAGTGTCACTAACCAGAACTACAGATCTCAATATGCCTACGAACGGTATGTCTCCGGTTGACTTTTGATGATCTAGCACCTATACCGAGTTCAATGGGGATGTCTGACCCGATCACAGAAAGGAGGCTATCCAGAAAACCATCATGGCTATGACCTTAGGAAAAGATGTCTCCGCCCTTTTCCCCGATGTCCTGAAGAATATTGCGACGAGCGATCTCGAACAGAAGAAATTAGTATACCTGTATCTGATGTGGGTGGCCCATGACTGTTTCGATTGTCGCTCTGCATGCTGATCTTCGATGCGCGGCAATCAGGAATTACGCCAAATCTCACCCGGACCTCTGTATTCTTGCCGTGAATACTTTCGTTCAAGACTCCGAAGACCCTAATCCTCTGATCAGAGCGCTCGCAATCCGAACGATGGGATGTATTCGAGTGGACAAGATGGTCGACTACATGGAAGAGCCCCTCCGGAAGACTCTCAGGGATGAGTCGCCCTATGTCCGCAAGACAGCTGCGATCTGTGTAGCCAAGCTTTTCGATCTCAACCCGGGGTTGTGTATGGAGAATGGTTTCCTGGAAATGCTTCAGGAGATGATTGGAGACCCCAACCCTATGGTGGTTGCGAACTCGGTGACAGCGCTCTCGGAGATCCACCACGCCGCGCCGGAAACCAACGCGCTCCAGGTCACGACCAATACACTACGCAAGCTGTTGATGGCGTTGAACGAGTGCACAGAATGGGGTCGAGTTACGATTCTCACAACGCTGGCAGAGTACCGGACTTCTGAGGTCACCGAATCAGAACATATCTGTGAGCGCGTGGCTCCTCAATTTCAGCATGCGAATCCCAGTGTTGTGTTGGCCGCCGTCAAGGTCGTCTTTTTGCACATGAAGAATGTCAAGGAAGAACTCTCCAAGAACTATCTGAAAAAGATGGCTCCTCCCTTAGGTAATTTAGCCCTCTTGAACCCAGCCATGGAGACGATCTAATCATGATGGTTCATTTCTAGTGACTCTTGTCTCGTCCGCCCCCGAAGTACAATATGTAGCTCTGAGAAATATTGACCTGTTACTGCAAAAACAGCCTGACATTTTGAACAAAGAGCTTCGTGTGTTCTTTTGCAAGTACAACGACCCGCCCTATGTTAAGTTCCAGAAGCTTGAGATCATGGTTCGCATTGCCAACGACCGCAATGTCGACCAGCTTCTAGCAGAACTTAAGGAATACGCCCTGGAAGTGGACATGGACTTTGTGCGGCGCGCTGTCAAGGCTATCGGTCAGGTGGCCATCAAGATCGAGAGCGCCAGCGAGAAGTGCGTTAACACCTTGTTGGACTTGATCAACACGAAGGTCAACTACGTAGTGCAGGAGGCTATTGTGGTGATCAAGGACATCTTCCGGAAGTACCCTGGCTACGAAGGCATCATTCCGACTCTTTGCAAGTGCATCGATGAGCTCGATGAGCCCAACGCCCGAGCCGCGCTCATCTGGATCGTGGGGGAATATGCGGAGAAGATCAACAATGCTGGAGATATTCTCGCCGGATTCGTGGAAGGGTTCAATGAAGAGTTCTCGCAAACGCAGCTGCAGATCCTCACAGCCGTTGTTAAACTCTTCGTAAAGCGGCCTGAAAAGGCCCAGGGACTGGTGCAGAAGGTCCTGCAGGCCGCTACGGCGGAGAACGACAACCCTGACGTTCGTGACCGGGCCTATGTATACTGGCGGTTGCTCTCCAACACGAGCGACCCTGGTGCCACCAAGAACATTATGCTCTCTGAAAAGCCGCCGATCGTGACTACCATCCACTCTCTACCACCCGCCCTTCTCGACCAACTCATCACCGAACTTTCTACCCTCGCCTCTGTATACCACAAGCCACCAGAGCAATTCGTGGGTCAGGGCAGATTTGGTGCCGACGCCGTTCAAAGAGCCGCCATCGAGTATGTACCCCTGTTAGCTGGACTTTACTTTTGCTCTCTTCGCTAATTATTCTTCTCTAGGGAACAAATCCAAAATGCACGTGAGAACCCATTGGCTGCGGCTGCAGCCGCGGCGGCAGTTACTGGCAAGGCTCCGCCGGCTCAGAGCCAGAACAACGTTGAAAATCTTCTGGACATCGATTTCGACGGGGGTGCACCAGCATCCGCTCAGAAGGAACCCAGCGGCGGCATGTCCGGCCTTGAAGGCCTTGCCGGCACACCTGTCCGGGTAGAGTCTCCTGCGGCTGGTGCTCCGGCGGGCAGCAATAATCTGGATGATCTCCTGGGCGTGTTTGGCGATGGTGGGGGTGCTGCTGCCCCGGCCCCAGCCCCCAATGGTGGCAATGCTAGCGCAGACCTCATGAATGGATTCGCCGGGCTGGATCTATCATCGAACACCACATCACCACCCCCGGGAGGAAGCCAGCCCAAGAAGACCAACGAGGATATCTTGTCGCTGTTTTAGATCCAGCGTCGATGTATGGGTGGGATCCAATATGTATAGCCGAAGACAGGTCAGCGTGGAGGTGCTTTAAAAGATGACTTAATCCTTGCATTCGGTATAGATTTCCACGGTCTTCATTGTTTGATTTCGCCAGCAATATTCGCTATAACATTCTCATTTTTCTTATTCTTCTTCACTTGTGATTACTTGTATATCCTGAGCATCCTTTTTCTTCAATATTCTACGTCAACTTCTCATCAATGCTAGGAACGAAATCTAGACACATTATTCCCTCCCGTATTGTGACCATTGAAACTATAACCCATAAGTAGCAAGATGGACGACACAGACAGACAAACAAACAGAGACAGATCCCGAGTCGGCCGACGGAGTCCAGTTAGACTCGGCTCCCCGTCCCCTCGGAAACTTTTTTCGAATGCCGAAAACACAATCAATCCCGCAATTAGTAAACATTTAGTAGTACCGTTGTCTCCAATTTTTTTTACTTCTTTTTCTTCCGTTTCTTCCCTCATAGTGGAGCCGTTGGGGTTGGAGTCAGTGGAGGGTCTCCATTGCATAGAATTGATTTGCTAGTATGGGAACACTTAGGTAACTGGGTTTTTTGTAGTCATGTGTAATACTAATGGCGTGATAATGGTGATCTGATGTATGTATCTACGTTGAGCTATCTTGAATCCAAGCTACAGAGAATTCTTTGGATCTGATAATAAGGATTTGAATCTGCCGTCTCGGCGCATTAGTGCCGATCATAGACGAGACCACCGAGAATTAGCCGTCCTTATCTACAAATAAAAAAAAAAAAAAAAAAAGAGACAGAGAGAGAGAAATAAAGTATACTACAAGACAAACACCTCACCAATCTCTCCAATCAGGACATCGTACCTGACTCGCCCAGAAAGCAAACTTAGAATATTCCAGTTTCACCCTTCACTACGAATCAAAGCCGACTCTCGTCCCGTCTACATCAGGTTTCGCCGTCAATACGTACATACATACATACAAGTCAGAAGTGGAGACCATAACTTCAAGACCCGCTATATCCGTAGAAACCCATGGATTGTCCGGAGCAGATCCGTAGAGCCCGTCAAGGTGAGTATAAATGATCCTATGGGACCGGTTCCAGATTGGCTGGTCTTTTCTAAATACTAATCCCCAGAATAGCACCACCAAGACAACATGGCACAGGCAGACTACAAGTTTGAAGGATGGATGGGCCTGGCGCCCGAGTCGGCGGATGGAAAGATGGTTTGGCAGGAGTTTGAGCCGAAGGAATGGGAAGAGACCGATGTCGATATCAAGGTTACCCATTGTGGTGTATGCGGATCGGACTTGCATACTCTTCGCAGCGGCTGGGTATGTTAGGTTTCTTTTTCATATGCTCACCGGAATATTACGAAGGATAGAGGAATCAAAATGGCTAACACTTAGTGCAGGGTCCTACCAAATATCCCTGCTGCGTTGGCCATGAGATCGTCGGTATTGCCGTCCGTGTAGGCTCGAAAGTCGTCGGCGATATCAAAGTCGGAGATCGTGTCGGCGTCGGTGCCCAGAGTGACTCGTGTCTGGGCCGTCTAGGTGATTGCCCCGAATGCG